CGTTTTCAAATCTTGAAGCATTTGGGCATTCTATTGTAATAAAATTCGACCACGTGGCACTGTTCAAAATAGCTGACCAAATAGCACTCGTTCAAAATAATCAAGGAGGTTGTCTAGTTGCTAGACAATCTGCGTGAATCCAAAAAATTCTAGAAATTACAAAAATAGAAAAGGGTCCAGAAGGGCCTCGGCCTTTTTAAAATCCAAACAAGTCAAGATGTGGTCAGGGGAGACCAGCTCGGAATAATACCATTGGCACTCCTGGTATTATTACACTGGAAGATATTGTGAAACATTTTTAGAAGTTGGAGATCGTAGTGTATTTGTTGATCGAGGTCCTTTGCCTAAACCTCGAATATGCCCCTGATTATTCTGTGTGACGGCCAATGCAGTGTCTGTAACAGCAGGTGAAGGATTAATGATAAAGAGAAAACAGCGCTTCAATCGAACCTAAGGTCAGGGGCACCTAAAGGGAGAAGACTGACTTGGCTGCCTGTCGTTTTAGCTGAGTTTAATGGTATGGCTTTTCACGCCCAGGTAACCCTACCAGTAGAAAGTTCTACTAAAGTACTTCACCCATACCACCCATATACACTCTCCGCACTTTGAGGCAACAGACAGGACTTGGAGAATTAAGTAATTGAATTATTATATGAGCGTCCGCAAATGTCCTCTCATTTTCATATCTGTATAGCAAGTCAGTAATTGTAGGTACGTATACAAATTGTCAATTGTAATTGTAAATTGAAGGTACGTATACAAAGTTCAAGAGATCTTATCTCTAAAAATCCCATTTTAAATAAATAAATGCTTGTATTTTCTTCAAATTATTATTTTTACCGATAATTAACACAAATTGACTTCTAAAATGCTGAATCTATGTGCCTTAGGTTTGTCTACCTAACAGCCACAGCGCTAGTCCCATTTTCTAATTTTGGTATTAGTTTCAATTTTAGGTCAGATTTGTATGTTTATCTATTTTCCTGCTACTTTTTCTCATCTAGTCCAAAATCAAAACTTCATTTTTTAACTCAAAATCTTCTAGAACATCCATATGTTGTCGAGTAAGCATTCGAAAGTCTCATATTGACTTTAATTCTAATAATCCCATTTTACTGTTTCTGAAGTTGTTTGTTGTGTGAATCAGTTAGGAAAGGAATTTAAATTGGAAGAAATCGTAAATAAATATATTATGCCAGAGGCGGAAGTTGAAGGAATTTTAGAACATCGAAGAAAATCCCAATTAAATTCTTCGGTCAGCGCAGGTTTATCCAATGGAGCGGGCGCCCAGGGCTCGGAAGGACTCGGATAAGCTGGACTTTACCGGATTTTCCTTGGATACGCCAATGCCATGGTATGCCAGCCTTGGATATACGCCAGTGTTATAGATCTCTTGCACTCAGGGTCCGAAATGAGCTCAAACCGGCACTGTCTTTAGCTATGGCATTTGCTAATAAGAACAATTTGATAGTTCTATTTTTTATTGAAAGCCAAATCGATAACCAAAAATGATATCATTAGTTATCAAAGAATATTAGGTTCTAAAATTCAGTTCAAGATTCAAAAATATTTGAGATGCAGTTTAGATGGTCAATAATTATAAAGATTCATGAAATTTTAACTTGATATGGAAAAGTATGTCATTGTTATTTACAATTCATTTGGGTAGAGGATGTTGTCCTTTATTGACAAATTTTAAAGTATAAGTTATTGCTTTTTTCTTGCTAAATATTCGAGTCTTTTAAAATCAATAACATCCTCGCCAGAAGCCCTCTTATGGCTTAATTCAGCGTTTCTGAAACTATTGGGTGCCTTCCTCCAGGGAAGCGTGATAAGTCTACGTGGAGGGCGAAAATATTTAAAAGTCGAAAACTAGAGCATATTTAAAAAGAATTAATTTATTGGTTAAAAACAAACAAAATACATTCTGACATAATAATAAAAAAAACCACTGATAAATATATCAGTACACCCAATGTATTTTATAATTAATTTAACAATACTAAGTTAAGAACAACATTAATAATTATTAATGACCCCATGGACTTGTCATATATAAAATTATATACAAAAATTAACACTTATCTTGATAATTTGTACTGTTTTTTATTATTCCCTTAAAAAAGTTACCGATTAGCCGAATTAAAGTTACTCGATTCGAACCCCAATGCCACCGTTTTCCCCGTTGGACCCCGTATGTGATGTGTTGGGGAGGGGAGGAGAAAAGGAATAAATAAGCAACTATTCTGAAATAAGTAATTCCATCGCAAACACTGTCAATAGCTTTTTATTGTATTCCAAAGCCTTTAAAATAATTTTATGGGTAGCAATGTACAGAAAAGATCGTACTTCGAAAAGACGTATATAAACGTCTGAGGCAATTAAAGTTTTGGCTGAGTGAGACGTTTGTATACGCCGGTGGCACTTAAGAGGTTAAAACCGTATTGTATCTTTAGCAACAACGTGTTTTCTTGAACTAAATACATTGTTACTGTATTGAGGGGATAGGGAGAGTGCAATGAAAATTACGATTGATTATTGGTTCGCCACTATCGAAAACTTTAAGAACTGGCTTAATTTATTATTTCAGTCAAGGAAGGGAAATGAAAGGCATTGTAAAAACTTATATTATCGATGAAAATTTCAAACTATTATTTCAGCTGCTTTAGTATAATCTTATTCGATATTTTCTAGAAAGAGCTTTTAATATATATGTATATATGCGTGTGTGTGTGTAATAATTTCAATAATTTAATCTGTAATAGCTCTTGAATTACTTAATGTCCAGTCCTTCAGGACAACCATGTAATTATTTTAATTGGTTACCCACCTACCTGATACTTTTGAAATTACATCCATCCACCTCCTAAATCACGTGATGTCTCGCTGAATATAAATAGCAAGCCTTTGGAAAGCCCGCTCTCTCTGTTCTTCGCTGTAAATATGTAGCCAGCCGGCTGCCGCGCGTTGTGTGTTTGTTTGTTGTTCTTTGTTCTGTGTTTGTGTCTTTAGGTTTGCTTCTGGTGATATGGAAACGCTTAAATGTTGCATAAAATGAATATAATTTCCAATCTGCCTCTTCTATACTACAGTAATCGTCTACTCGCCACGTAATACAGTATCAGCCACTCACCACCGGCCACGCCTTGTTCTTTCGTTCGTAATGACGTCCATTCCTCACGTCTCAAAATTATATTTTTAATACTCTCCTGAAATATTTAGTAGAAGTACTTCATATATATATATATATATTTAAAAAAGCAAAAAGATCTTTTGTAGACCATGGAAGTTTCTTTTTAAGTAGAATAAGAATGAATTTGGAAATACCTTGGCAGCAAAAATAGATATTTTTTGCAAAATTCTTCAATGTTTTTGGGTAATTATTTGTGCTATTTCTAAATCTTTGCTATTGTGGATTTATACATGCATGGTATTTATTCCCCAGTGGATGAAAATTTAAGGTAATCTTTAGAGTTCTAGAATACACACATTATACGATTTACTCAGAAAAACCTTCCAGTTAATTGCGTAGAACTTTTATTTGAAAGACGATCTACCCCGGAAGAAATTTAAAGAGGCATGAATGTGCCTGTTTGGATACATCTCTGACTGGATACATTTTTTCCATTCCCTGCTGCCTGCCTCAATCTTGTAAATGTGTTGTATCGGTGGCTGAGTAATTATGGTTGCTGACTCGAGATTCGTGTTGTCTTGTGTTCGAGTTCTCGTTCCACTGAAGACTCACCATGTAGGGGGACTGATGTACATTAAATCTATCAAGGCGGTCTTGTTAGTGCCCTGTGGGGAAGTTTGCCGAAAGAGGTAACTCTTGAGTCGTCCTTGTTATTGAACTGAGGTTCAAAATTACGAGATCTGTTGTCGTTGTCCCTTACACATGCTCAAAATTTAATACAACTATGAAAATAAATCAAAATTATTGTTGAAAATGAGCCAGTCTACAGTTAACAATCATGATTGCTTGGTTGTAGCAATCTTAAGGAAGCTGATTGAGGATCTGAATATTAATGTCACACTTTGAAGTTACGTGAGGACTATGGGCGATGGTCCTCATGAATTAAGAAATATAGTCAAGTGAACTGAACGATACCTAAGCTAGAACTCCACTACATCACCACCTTCTGAAGGAAGCCAAAGAGATTTTTATATTAGTTGTGTGTAGAAATACAAGGGTTGGGGAATAAGTCATGGCAACTATTTTCTTTTCTTGTAGATATGTGAACGGATCACAAACGTGTATGTGTCGTCTGGAAGTTCTGCAGGCATAGTGTGTATGCAGAGCAGTAGATTTCTCTGTGATAGCTGGTAGTAGCGCAGTGAGAGCTGTGAAATCAGTCAGTTGGTGAGTGTCGTGGGAAAGGGAAGTAACTCGGGTTGAACAGCGCGCTTACATTAAAATAGCCGTTCTCCGAGGGAGAAATGCGATGGAATGTCACAGTGAATTAGTGGAAGCACTTGGGAGTAGTGCCCTACCATATCATACAGTAGCACGGAGGGTAGGAAGTTTCAACAAGGACGTGTGTCAACCTGTGATGAGCAACGCGGTGTGGCAAATGCTGAAGCTGATGGTATTCAGCGCTTCCCACATCGTTGTGGTCACAGTAGAGGGACTACATTGAGGGTCCTTAGGCCTAGGTTTGGCATGTCAACTTTATGTGTACTGTGTTGTCATTCTTTTGCACAGTGAAGGCCATATTGTCCTGCTATATATACTAACGTAATTAATTAGTGTGTACATATTTCAGTGCTATTCATTGTCCGCACATGTAGTTAAAACCTTGTCCTTTCGTCTGTATGTGTCACATTTTCCAATCGGACTGGTATCTTGAAGAAAAAAATACTTGCCATGACTTTTGCCCCAATCCTCGTATAAATGGTAGAAATATAAAAAGTAGAAATAAATAGCGGATAAATATATTACACTGTTACCTGATCTCGATTCCAGGAAAATTATATATCAGGATCCTCAGTTTTCTCTGCCACCCTGCCAGTATGATGGATATGATCCTCGGCTTGCAACCGAGTGGGCCGGGTTCGAATCTCGAATAAGGCAGGGATTTTTTTTCTTAGGGAGAAGAAATCGGGCTTTCGCCTTTAACGGATTCGCCTGAATGGAAAGCAGTGCACCCCTTCTGTTCTATGCTGGGATCATCATTTGTAAAAATGTCTATATTCTTCTCGTTTGTGTATTGTATATTTCTGTTCTTCCACTCATATTTCATATGTATATCTCAGGATAAAAAACACACTACAACAACTCACAATCAGTTTTCTCTCCGGTACTCTTGCTACGGAATTGTGTTATGTACACTAGTGAGGAGCTTTGTTTACCACAGATATGCAATAAATTAAACACACAGAAAGCATTTGAATGGATAAATAAAGATTGAAATATTATAGGTGGATTTAAAAAGAGTTCAGTTAAGCAATGTTTAGAGTAGAGAAAAATGTGGAAATATTAAAATTTTACATCGAGGGTAGCCGAAGATTTATATTCACACACAGTAACGGTGGTATTCTCGATCGCGAGTACTATTCGAAAAGAAAACCCATGGATTGGGTAACCCCCGCTTGTTGTAACACTCAGGTAATTCTAGTTTCTCATTCTCGAGCATTCACTATTTCCTTCTCACACCTTCAATGTAAATATTTCTCACGTTAAGGTATCCGACTACGTTCGGAACCGTGATTTTGCAAAAGCGCATAAATGGATAATTTTCATACTTAGTGTCACTTAGATTAGAAAACATGTATAAAATTGTTTTAAGGACATTTTGACAAAAAAAAATTATTTAAATACAATATTTTGGCAAACAATTAACTTTGAATAATCTTTTTTCAAAATGTTCTCCTTTTCTGAAAAATGCTTCTATTATAATAATATTTTGCCCGTATATATTTCAGACTTCTGTACAGAGGCTCCACTAGAATTTTTGAAATATATAACTTAGAAGTGGGTTTATTCATATTTTACGACAACAGAGGGGAGCAATTTTAAGAAAAAAGCCAATAATTAGTTCAACTGGTGGTAACTCTGAAAATAATATGAATTTTTCAAACATTCTAGTTGAGCCTCTGTAGAGAGATCTGAGCTATATTCAGGCAAAATATTATTATAATAGAAGCATTTTTCACAAAAGGAGAACATTTTGAAAAAAGATTATTCTAAGTTAATTTTGCCAAAATATTGTATTTAAATAATTTTTTTTTGTAAAAAATGTAAAAAATTTTGCATTTTCTAATCAAAGGACATAAATATCATGAAAACTATTCATTTTCGCTTTTTAAAATCACTGTTCCGAACGTAGTCGGATACCAAAGATTTTTCAATTTTTTTAAATTTTATTTAACACAGTACTGGGGAAGATTTTAAAAAACCCCCCCCCCAAAGTTTTTTCATCATCCCGCGATTGGAATTAAGTTTCCCCTTTGGGAGTGGTGAGGTGGTATTTCAACGCGAGATTGTTTAAAAGAAATCCCACGGATTGCAATTTTGCCGTCGGAATCCGGGAAATTTGTTTATTCCGAACGCGATTACCGGATCGGAGTTATGCGTGGGCGAGATGTTAAAGTCGTTGTGATTGGACACTGATAGTCACGTGACTTATTGCTTACATTTTACGTTGTATCTTGGGGGAAAAATTCAAAATTTTGCTGACCACTATTGAATAAAAAAGGGGTGTGTGTGGTGGTGGATTTGGGAGCATTTTGCATTTAAAAAACTAGAGTTTTCGCTGTCTATTTTATAGTTGATTAATATACTTTGGTGCACCTCTAAGAAAGAGGTTTTGTTGTTATTTTTTTTAAACTGTACTTTTTGTTTAAACCCTTTTTTCTTTTTCCATTTTTTTTACCGGAAGGAATCACACAAAATGAGTAACCCCCATTCCGGTTTACGGAATCTGATAAAAATACAAAATGAATGAAAAAATGAAGGGGGAAGCTACAGACTTCAAATATTTTAAATCTACCCAAATTGAAAAGAACAATTCTTGAATAGGAATAACAGATTTAAGTTCAATTTTACTTGAACATACAGAAAAAAAAGGAAGCATCCCTAAATCGAACCCCCACTTATTACATGCTGAATTAAAAAACAAAATACCTAGGCATGACAATATAACGCACATGTACTTCACTCGAAGCGGAAAATTAAAAATTAACATCTCGGATCCTGTATGCACTGTTCAGATAACAGCTATTAAACAAATTTTAAATACTCCGATCAAAGCCAACATAATATGAGAAGGGTTCGTTTCGCGATTCCTACTTTTCGATATCTTAACTAATGTACATTTGGCAGACATGGCAACTGATTTAAAAAACTCAAATGATATTGAAATTGTTGAAATCCGAAGATTCATCAAAACAAACATTCGTCAAGAAGCTTCTCCTGTCTTAATTACAATTCTAGGAATTAATACACCATAATGTGTAAAATTTTGGTTTTTTAATCATAGAATTTAATTATTCATAGACAAATCCCGGCCATGTAAAAATTGTTATAGTTTCACTCTTATCACGTTTTTGTTCCAGCCCTGTAAGACAGATACATCAACTGTCGAGGATCCCATTCTGGACAATGTATAAATTCTTCAAATTGCATAAACTGTACAAGAGATCATCCGGCGAACTCCCCCCAACTGTCCTACTTTTATCAAAGAAAAAAAATTCTAGAATTCAAATGTAATCAGCACTTAACTTGTGACGGGCTCGCGCGTCTTTTCTTTAACATAACCTCTGGGTTCTTTGGTGGCCAAGATTAATGTCAACTCTTTTCCAGCCAAAATCCAAGAATCGAAATGTGAAAAAGAAATGCAAATAAGATAGCTTTTAAATAACGGAAGTTTCAGTAAGTGAGATGGCAAATTTAGGGAATGGTATGTGTGATAGACAATAGTGTGAATTGACAGACAATCGTGAAGTTACCTGGAAAACTAGCCATTAATACAAGGTGCATACCATTGCACGCGCGCCCAGTTGTTTCGTACCGTGATAGAACCTTAGCTTGAATTTAGGTAGAACTGATTATTTGATATTAGGACTTGCAATTGAAAGTAGGCGAATAATATAATTATTTAGATAAGTGATATAAGTTCCGCGATCAGGTTTAACTATTGCTGTGTGTTTGGTTTATTAGATTCTCGTTTAATTAAATTTATCTAAATTGTTAGACATTTAAGTTGTATTCTTAATAAAGTCATATTAAGAATTATAAAAATGTCTATTCCTTTTACAAATCCTACACCTCAAGCTCACGCTGACAATCAAAGATACGGTCACCAAAGGAGGTGGTATCATAGTGGTGCCCAACGAAATTTAATTTATATGATCCCGGGGTAGGAAGCTCGAGTGGGTTTGGTATTTTACCAGAAGTGTGCTTTTCCGGGTTGTAAAATGTGGCCGACATTTTGGAAGCCATAGACAATCAAATAAAATTACTAGAAATACCTAGCGATTTAGCATGTGCTTATTTGAAAGGTCATCTCCGCGGAAGGGTCCGAAATTGATATCAGATATTCGTATCAGTGTTAGTGCAGGATACTGCCACGGATTTCGCGCAGCTAAAAGCAGAATTATCAAAAACATTCCCCGCCATAAGGAATAAGAAATATTTGGAGACCAGGTTTTAGGCGAACCAACAGAGAACAAACCAGGAGCTAACGGATTTTGTTTACGATTTATTAAAGTTGCATCAAAAACTAGAACTAGGGAAACCGCAGGCGGACTTGGTAGATCACATTTTTGTTAGACTCGAACCACAAGTTCAGGACTACGTGGAGGCTCGAAATCCACAAAGCACGGTACAACTTTTGGAGGTAGGTATTCTTGCAAATCAACGCGGGTTTTCCAGAGTGGTGATAATGTGAAAAGACGAGGTCGGAATGAGCATAGGATGTCTAATGTTGGTGATAGTCGCAGAAATTGGAGAAATTCTGAAGTTGGGCGTAGACCAAGTAATGGCAGAAATGATTATAGGGGTAACTACGAGAATGGCTGTCAAGGAAAACAATGGTTCGAAAGTAAGAATAGATTTCAGAACGATGACCACAGATTCAACGATAGGGGATACCAATTTCGAAAAGGAGATCGAAATGATGATTTTAATAGAGAGGACCGCAGAAATAGGGGTTCGAGTGAGAATTTCAGTCGAGGCGATAGGATACAAAGGAGACGATTGAATGTTTTAAAAGTTAATGAGGTTTAAAGTAATCAAAAGAACTCGGAAGTGGATATACCGATTAAACTTTCTGCGATATGTATGTCTCCAGTGGAACTTCCATATGTTCCTATTTCATTAAATAAAACATTTTTCGAAAGCGTTATGGGACAATGGAGCGGAGAAATTCCCTTTATATTGAGGAAATATATAGAAAATATTTTTTTTATAAACAAGTAAAAAAATCAAGTGCACAGGTGATTACGGCACAGGGAGCGAAATGTCAAAATGTAGGAATTGTAGAATTGAACATTCGAATTAGGGAGTTTGAAAAACCTTGATTGTTTAATGTGTTGACAGATTTGGAATAACCATGTATTCTCGGGATAGATTTCTTAAGTGGATTAAAGATTGTTCTAGACTATGATCGAAAATCGTTAAAGATTCCTGATTCGCAAATAGTTAAGGTGGTTAAAACAATTGAGGAAGAAAATGTAGAAATAGATCTGTCTAAGACAAAGTTGGAGGATAAGCAAAAACAGAAGTTACAAAATTTGTTTAGTAATTCTAAGGGATTGCTTTCGAATAAACCAGGTCATACTCATGTTTTATACCATGAAATTTATACGGGAGATAGTCCGCCAGTGTTTCCAGGCCGTACCGCTATGATCGGCAAAAGCAAGCGATACTCGAGTATCATGTTGAGAAAATGTTGGAAGAAGGAACCATAGTTCCAATTCAATCCCCGTACGGTCACAGTTGTGTTATGTAAAAAAAAAGGGTTACCCCGGATAATCCGGAAGCATTAGATTTGTTGACTATATGAAACTTAATTCAGTCACGAGGTATCCACGCCATCCCTTCCCATTAATAGATGATTTAATAACGAATATCCCC